ATGCCAAAAAAATGTTACCGAAGAATATGACATTTTCGCATTTTCAAAAAAAATGGCATTACAGAATTTTTTTATACTTTGCTGATTGTTAGCTTTTCGTCCAAGTAAAATAATGCACGAAAAAAAATTGGGGGTCACCATGCTTTTTTTCCAACTATACGAGACGATAGGCCATTTTGGAGTCAATTTCGTACACGTATGTCGTCATAGCAACGAACTATCTGTTACTAAAACTAATATAGTTTGAAAGTAGAGTTATCAAAATATATAAAAAACCCAATATCTGCTGAATAAATCCTAAAAATGCGTAGTTTGAACATGTCAAAGTGTTAAACACCTGAATTTTTGAAAACTGTATCGAGCCACCTTAAGTGTTGCAAAACAACAGAAAGTACACATTTGCGATCGCAATTCGCAACGTCGTATGTTGGACTTATTTTGACAATTTCGACTGTTATTGAGACTATTTAAATTGGATTTCATCCTAAATAGTGTATTCCTGACATGGAGTCAATTTTAAGCAAAGATTTGCGGGTTGATAGGAGATATTTTATTACTGTGTGCTTTGACTATTGGCGAATTATATAGCTATATATTTCAAGCACATGAATCATGATTTCTCAATTTTGACCGATGCATTTGCATCGCTGGCATCGGTCTGGATCCGCCCCTGTAGTCTACAATCTTGGACAAAACTCTTGAGACCATTCCAGCTAATATTACAAAGTTATTGAACATTGACAAAACAAACTTTGTCTCCCCCCCCCCCAGTTCAATGTTGTGAACAACACTGAAACAACTTTTGGTAATATACCATGATACAAGCTCAACATTGAGTTGGGGGAGCAGGGCTATGATTGAACATGGAGTTTATCATAAAAATACTTATATTCCATATCTACCTTATTCCATATCATAATTGAAAGCCTCGTATAGTGAATGTAAAAACACATCCAACAATAAAAGTAGCCGAATTGGTCAAACTTGATAACATGGTTTGTTCAGAAAATGGCTATTCACTCTAACATGCGAACGTTCCCTGGTCCATTTGAACCAATTAGCTATTGCTATAGAACATAGCTACAAAGTTTAAAAAGAAATGCAATCATGGACATGCTAAGCGTTGTCTACACAGCTACTTTCATATAGGCAATCGGCACTGTTCACAGGTTAATATAGTATGGCGACCCCCACAAGGAACAAAGGGTCGCCTGTACAATGTTCAAATTGGCCATAGTAAAGAGTATATTGCCATGACTTTTGGAGCATAAACCTTTTATAATAATATATAAGAACATTTCAAACGATTAACGAAAAGATTTGATGTGATATCAACAGTAAACGGGGATAGCAGCAAAATTTTATAGTAAATGATAGGTCTAGTCATTGTTTTAAATTGGAGTTGCTGTTTACCGTTGTAATGGCCTGTTTACCATTCTTTTATCAAACCACGATAAAGATTATACTTGGTTAACCGTCATATAAAAAAATCGGGTTAAATTATAAGTTTTAAAAGCAAGTTTGAGGCTCATAAACTATAGAACAAATGACGTCATCTTATAAAAAATACCTATATACAGCAACACTTGAACATGATATTTACATAATTGAATTAAATCCCAATGCATGTGTCTTGACCTCTATGCCCTAGTAACATGATATTACTCGCTTCTGGCAGTAGAAAACTATATATTTTAGATGAAACAAGAAAAATTCATGCGTTTCATGAGTATATTTTAGGATGTGACAAGTTCAAGTAGGCATTATATTGCTCGCTTTTCATGCAAACAAGTATATATTGCTCGAAAAACAACTTTCAGACTACTGGAGTGGAAGAAAATTAAAAAAGATTGAGTTATCATGCACAATTAAATTCAGTGTGTTTCAGACAATCTTGGACAAAACCCTTGAGACCATTCCAGCTAATATTACAAAGTTATTGAACATTGACAAAACAAACTTTGTCTCCCCCTCCCCCCCAGTCCAATGTTGTGAACAACACCAAAACAACTTTTGGTAATATACCATGATACAAGCTCAACATTGAGTTGGGGGAGCAGGGCTTTAAGAATGGCAACATGATTCAACATGGAGTTTATCATAAAAATACGTGAATTTTCTATAGGGTGAAAATAGTCTCAACCAGTTATGGCCAAGAGTGTAGCATTAAAATTTTTTCAGGACCCTCTACATAACTCAAACAATAATCGGCCTCACTGAATGTTTTTACCCTCTTCCATCAAAAATGAAATGGTTTGTCCCTAAGTAACAGAATATTAACAATTTATAATTATTCCACTGTAACATTGTGATACTTTGTTATTGATAGGTTAGACAGTGTTTATATCACTCGGCGTGATATGTGTGATCAGTGTGTCATCACAAACAAACTGGGATCAAATTGCCTATGGATATTGCCCAGCAAAGATTTTTTACTGTTGCTTCTTAAGAAAATATGTGACAAATACGAGAAGTCTCTGGATGCGAAAAAGTTATTACCAGCAAAGGTATAAATATAACTGGCACAAGTCAGAGCAGCAAGTCGGACTGGAATCTAAAGACAATATTGGTCTGGCACTTGCCAATCGTATTGACTATTTCAACCCCCCCCCCCCACACACACACACACACACATTGCACAGCACTTTGTAATAATGACTTAATGAGTTAATGACAAAGTGACTTGGGGTGGATTTTGGTTTAAATGTGTGAAGTACCCGAGTCATGGTAATTGGACATGTAGGATATACATGTGTTCACTATTCATGTATCCACTTTTTGCTTTCATTAAGGTTTGTGGGTTGCAACCAAATTCGGTTCCTCCAGTATGGGTGTTGAACAAGCACACTCATTTGACTTTGACAGATGGTGATATTCGATACCTGTCTGCAGACCAGTCATATGTGTTAAATGGTGATGGTTTTCCAAGTTACACATATAGCGATATGATGAAAGGTTATCCATTTTGGGTAGAAAAAACTTGTGTTGCTTACATGGCCATATAATATCAAGGTTGTCACAATTCCTTGACTACAGGACTAAGTTCTTAGAGGCAGTAATTGTATATTTATCGTTGACCTACACAGTTAAAGTAGATTGAAATTTCAATCTCTTAAGCACCATTTTCTGTATTTTGGATTGCAAAATGTAGACTTTTGTCTGGCAAAATATAACTTTTTCCAATTTGATGGCTATAGCCCCCTTCCTATACCCTCGGTATAACATTCATGACCCATCACTAGTATTTGAATGCGCAATGTCAGTAACACAATGCATGTTGTCTCAAATACTTTATTGTTTGGTATGTTTTACTTTTAGGAATGTTAGACCAAGGTCAAATGTTGAAATCGCTAATACAGCAACTGGTCTCTTTCATTGATGATGATATTAATGTAGCTTTGTTGGTTGTTGGGGGAACTGTGATGTCCTTTCACTATGATCTGCTGCACTCGTTAATCGGAGGTGTGCCAATAACAATGGCCATAGGAGATCCAGTTTCGGGAAAATCTACCACTGTAGAAGCCATGTTGGCTCTTTTTGATGAACGTGAATCTGTAGGAGGTTGGTGGATTAAACCAAACTTATTTAGAAACATCTCAAAATAATTCTATTTTGCAAACTCTGCTTGTATATAACCATATACTACTTTTATCCAACATCAGCTGGAACAGGAGCAAAATTATTGGAAACTTTAGTGGATAGAACAATCCCAATTTGGTGGGATGACATCGACAATCCACCTGTTCTAGAAAATTTGACGGTTTTAGTTTTCAATAAAGTATGTATTTGAGTATAGTATTTCCTGAATATCAAAAGAATTTTCTTAACACAGTTGTTCTATGTGATTGATTGCATTTTGATTTTTTAGTCAAAACAAGTTACACTTGGATGTGAAAGGGTTGGCAGCACTTTGCCAATAATTTCAATAAATCAAACCAAATTATGGGGTGGTTTCTTGAGATTAAAGTGGAAAGCAGAAGGTTTTAACAGGTAAATTGGTCTATTTAGTTTTGAGAAAGTTATCTAGATCTCCCCCAATGACAGTCATAGCGATAAACGAGTTCACCTAATTTAAAGTAAACCCCGTTTTACAATATTCACAAGAACCATTCCCCTGCCATTTCGAATGAAAGCCTCAAATGTTTCTTTGAGTGAAAGACTTGACAGTCGTTCAGTGATGGGAAGACTACTAAAGGAGCTGCCAAGAAGCATTTCAGTCATTAAATTACACAATGACTTCACCAACATGTCAAAAGACAAGCTATTCGCCACAATTGAAGAAATACTTGTCATCTACAATTTGCCAGATCCACGTTCGCAGATGAACATTGCGTAGATTTTGGAGCATATCGATGCAAAAGACGATTATTGGAATGACCTATTAACGTTTATGTCTAACCACATGATTCAAATGTACAAACGACCATTGGTGGGGTTGATGGATCATGGCGAAGCAGTGGATCCCGAAGCTAAGGCACCTGAGATGTCATAAAAGCTATTAAACAAATCTCAATAGCAGTTTCAGAAAATCCTGAAGAGGTTTGTGCAATCAAATTTGTAGTGCACATAGAGTAATTTACTAAAACTCAACTTGCATAAAAATAATTGCAACATACAACTGTGAGTGTGGAGAAGCTATTGCTGTTTCCTTGTGCAAAGACTTACAGGACTTAAATTTCTCCTGCAGTGATACGAACCTACATCCAAGCAAAGAAAATCGGATGCAGAGGGAAGACAATGAGGATTAAATCCTCTTCAATGACCTGTGTGCAAATTAGTTGGGAGAAGCTGCCTGCACACTTCAGGGAAATCCTTCACCCATCGCAGGGTAATGTATTTATTAAAGCACTAATGATTAACAAGAAAGATTTAAAATATTTATGTAATACATTGGTACGCAAAGTGCTCTTGCATGGTTTATGACTGCCTATACCATTTAATTTACTCCATGATATGTTAATTGTTCAATTTTAATTTAGAAAGTGAAAAAGCAAATGAACCATTGCCATTACCAAATGGTGAAGACAAGAGCAATGATAATAAATTGGGTACCATAGATTGGTCAATTAATAAATACTCGACATAAAACACTACAATTCAAATTCAAGGTCTCAAGCTCGTCCTACAGAAAGTGTCCCAAAAAAATGGTGGCTAAAGCGTCACACAAGGCCAAGGGCGAACAACAAGTTTAAAAAATTATGTATTGGGAACCTGTATTACAGTTCTATAATGTGCAGAAATTTTGTTGTTCATATTAGACTATAGTTCAAGATTGTTTGTCCAATTTCACTGATACTTGCCCAAAATTGTACTTACAGTACAGCACAACATAATCAACGGCTTTGTCAATTTTTTTTCATAGTCCTTTGATGATCTTATATAATTGTTTTTAATCACAAAATTTGGTGTTGAGTGTTGACGACTTACGGGAGAAAACTTGCAACGAGCTTAAGCTTGCCGATTTGCATCGGACTAGGATGGTTTGAAGAGGCAGAGTAATGCAAAACACAGCAAAAAAGTGTATGAAAATTTTGGCTGTTTAAACTAAACTTTTAGACTTTTAGTAACTTTTCCAATGGCTGCCATGCATACACATAAAACTGACATGTTTTGACAATTAATAAAGATGTTTGATTAAACGTTTGTTAGGATATAATAATTTTTGGTTTGTTCTTCAATTATAGTTACAAACTGACCAAAAAGGAAGGAGTTATTTTTTGTGACACCCTACATCGAATTTTACATGCCCTGCAAATGTAAAGTCTGACGTCCACAACAAGACTAATTGAACACTTTAGCGCTTATAGGAACGGCTAACATACTGCCATCAGCTAATCGAACACCAACATAATTGTCTTCATTGTAGAAATGAATGAAAAAGAGGAAGAAAGAGAGGATACAGCTCAACTATATAACATTCAAGGTACCGGTAATTCTGGCGATAAACTAGCGTCAGTTGATCAGAACATTTGTTATCCGCGGCAGTAGCTAATTAGTAGTATTTAAGCTGGTTTCATGTGGTTGTATAATGGTCGTAAAAATAGAGTCACAATCTTTCCCAACAGCCAGTTTATACCTAGTAAACCACATTTCAAACACTCATTAATAATTCATAAGCTTATTGGCAAATCATGTCAACCATAATATGTCATGTGCATGGCTTTAAACCTGATAAAACACTCCTAATTATAGTATTCTTAATTTATATAAAGAATACTAATTAGGCAATATCTATTGTAGTCGTGCCCTCATTAGTATTCTTTATATAAAGAATAGTAATAAGGCAGGGGCGGTGAAAAGTTGATAATTGGGGGGGGAGGGCTGATATTCATATATTTATGTTCTTTTATTTCCTTTGAAAGTGATTGTTTTTACAGTCTGTGTACACGAATATATGAATATCAGCCCCCCCCCAATTATCGACTTTCTGCTGCCTCTGTAATAAGGCAATATATCTATTGAATTTGTAGTCGCGTTTGAAGCTGTTTAATAAACTCGCAGGTTGTATTTTATTAGGTCTAAACCTAATAAAACATTCCTGCTCGTTTATTAAACAGTACATAAAAATCTCTGAACATATGGGTGTTTCAACTTTGACTGGAAAGAAACGTTCTGTTTCAACCATGTCAGGCATACTCATATCCATACCACTAAACATCAAATGTCCCCCTGTGATTTTAAAATCCTTTCCACTGCTACTTCTGAAGGAATATTTCACTCATATTGATTTGTGGCGAACTCTGAAGAATTCACAAGTTATTTACGTTATTGTGGAAACGATATTCCGAAATTTTGGCCAAGCGGTGAGTAAATATATGATTGTTTCGGTTTGTGTAATGCTTTAAAAGCTTTGAAAAGGTTATTTTATTAGGAGTTCAACGGTATTCTTTGTTTTAAAGGGGGGTGAATACGCGCTGAGATATTTACATTATAAACAATTGAGTTGTAAAATCGTCAAAATGTCGCTTGTCGATAAAGAGTTAATGATAGGTTGTTTTTCATCCCTTCCTCTTATTCACTTATTTGAAAAATTTGTATATATATAATACACGCTTGTAAATGAGTTTAATTGCTCTGAAGATGTTGTGAACAATACAACAAAATGTTAGCCAATAAATGATATATTTTGTTATGTCTTGTCTGAAAGTCATTTGCTGGGCTTTAATTTTCATTTTTAAATTACGCTTTCCACCCGGTGTATCAATCGCTACAGAACATGCACTAATTGAGCTTGTTGACAAAATAACTACATCGATAGATGAAGGGAAATACACTGTTCATATTTTTCTTGACCTATCAAAAGCATTTGATACTATTAATCATCAGATTCTGATTAATAAGTTAGAGCACTATGCAATAAGAGGAACATGTCAAAAGTGGTTAAAAAATTACCTAAGTAACAGAAAACAAATTGTAAAATACAATTAAACCAAATCAGAAGAAATGACAATAAAAAGTGGAGTCCCCCATGGTTAAATATTATAAATGTCAATAAACTTTCAATAAATATCTCAAAAACAAAGTTTATTGTTTTTAGGTCGTCAATGAAAAAACAAAACTATGATAAAACAATTTTGTTAAAGAATGAAAATATTGAACAAGCTAAAACAACTACATTTCTGGGTGTGGTCATTGACGAACACTAAACATGGAGTCATCATTTTGATATGATTCACAAGAAAATCATGAAGTCTACAGCAATAATATCTAAAAGTATACATTATATAAATATGAATGCTCGAAAGCTACTATACTTTGCCTTAGTCTATCCATATCTGATTTATTTGAATTTAATATGGGGTAACACATACAAAACAAGTATTCAAAGGTTGGTAAGCATCCAAAAAAAGATAATGAGACTAATAACATTTAAGTTTTATTTCGAACACACTGAACCAATTTTTAGAGATCTAGAAATATTAAGCATTGAACAAATCACAGTTAATAGAAATAGGATGGTTTGGAAAATGGGCGGAGTTTCGGAATATGTTTTTGATCCGTGCTTGGAAGGGTCACATGTCAAATAGTGTGCAGCGTATTAAAAATGGCGTAATAATACATATCACGAATTACCTAATTTACATTGAAATAATATCAATATAATATCTGTTGGCCATCTCTTGGTAATTTCGTTAGCTAGCTATGAAGTATTAGAGCTATGCCTGGCCGTAATTGTGCTTTTTTGGTTGTTCAACAAGCCAAAAGCACCAAATTTCATTGTTTCGAATACCAGTCATAAGTGTGCACGAAAGTGAATATAAGTCATCAATAAAAAAGGAAACTCGGGAGAAATTATTTTCAGCACCAGAGCAATTACACCAGAACTGAAGAAATGAACATCCAATAATAATATATATTCCATAAGGTAGATACTGTACATAGGAACTGAATTTGGGTGGGGAAGCAATAATCATAGTTCATAATTTTTATTGCATTTAGCTTTCATTTATCTTTGTACATATACTTGAAATTTCTGGAATGTTATTGGGAACTTTGGTGTCAATTATATTTTACTAATCTCTTGGTGATCACTTTAGACCATTCTGATGTCACATGAAGTAACTTTGCTATAAGTATAAAATATGTATATGAATATAAAGGAATTGTCCAAACTAGTCTGTTAACATTTAATGTTTTGTAGAATTGTACACTCTGTGCACTTTAGCTATTTAATCCCCAGGCCCTGCATGGCTTTTCAACTCCCAGCTCTACAAGCCTTTTAACCCCCACTTTGCTCTTCACATGTCTCTCCAACTCCCCTAGATTGAAAGCTCCCCTTGTTACTGTTTGAGGACTACCTTACTGAAACTCTAAAAGTGCCACCCGAATACACCCCCTCCCACTAGATATCCTAATATCAGCCATAGGCTAAACATATAAGTTATCAAACAATGGCTTGTTAACAACAAATAAAATATAATATGCCAATCTACTGTGAGCAACAACAAAAATGTCCTGACCTGCATAATACATTACTTCTATAATGTGTGTGAACACATTTTTCTGTTTCCTTTCATGCTTAGCAGTGGAAAATCACACTTTTCACCAACCACCTCTTATAAATTTCCTTGGGGGATCTTTCTGGAATGAACCCAATGAGATTGCTTATGCTTGTAGTTTTCAAACATATATTTACAAAATTTGACATAATTTACAAGTTTGGTTTAACCCACTGAGTGGCAGCACTCTCCCCCTGACGAGTAAAATCATCTGGTGTTATATAATACCTTATTGAATTCTGATTGTTTAATTGGCTGTTTATGGTCACATGATATTGAATTGAAAATTCCATTTCCCAAGCGTACAATGGAATATATGTTCCATTGCACTCTTTGC